GGCTGGGAGCCTGTTGAGTAGGTTGAGATCGTGCCAAGTCCCCACCATGTTCAGTTTCGGCTTCACTAATTGCACCCGATTGAAGTACCGTATCAATTTTGTGAGGATCCGCACGGGATGTAGGACTTTTCAGCACGTCTGCCTGATATCGTTGCTTCAACTTGCTGGATGGAGAAGTGGTTTCTTCGCCGGTTCGCCGTCGGCTTGACGCCCTTGCCGGGGCTGCCACTCCCGCAAACTGCGCCGAAGCTTCTTGATCGATCGTTCTCTGTCGGATGATACGCTCCACAAAACTAGGTTCCTTTTCAAACTCGCCGTCGCTCTGATCCTCTGCATATATGTGCTCCGCGGAACGTGTCATTCTTTCTTGCAAGATCCTGTCACGTCTCGCCTGAGACTCTTTCATGCTGATGTAGGCCATTGGTGTCTCAGAGCGGTCCTGCGGAAAGGTTGCGGCGAGCGCGTTCAGAGGAGAAGATAGCACGGCGGCTAGCGGATGATTTTGAATGGGGAGATTTGGAGAAGGTCGGTCAGACATGAGGTCGGGCTGCTGACCATAAACCAATGGAGACGACGGAGCCTGTGTCGCCTTGAACACCTGGCTCAGTGCCATGATCCCCCCGCTTGATTGAATGTCCGATGCAAGAGGATTCTTTGAAACACATGGGGTCTCGGAGTTGGAACGCTCGGGTTGGCCTAATTTGAAGGCTGTCGCTGGTGTGCTTGTCAAGAACCGCTGAGATTCAGGGAAGAGGTTCGGTTGGTAGTGCATGGGCGACGATTCTCCTAACTTGGAGCTGTTTTGCTCTTCATTGTCCTCGGCATCGATTATATCGGGACATGTGTTCTCGAACCCAGACAACAAATCTACATGGCCACTGTCACCCTCGTGCAAAGTCATCATTGTAGCCCGCTCCACAATATTGCTGTCGGACGCATTTCTAGCAGCAGCATCCTTGTTTTGTCTGATCATATCGTCAAACACCGACTGCGAAACGACCTGAGTGTCTGACGGGACACCGTCTGCGGAACCCATCTTCGCGGTTTGTCCAACGGGTAGAGGACTTTCGGGGACGTCTTTAGACCCGAAGAACCGTTGCCGGTCATTCAAGGGTACAGCAGCATGCTCTGCTCGAGAAATCGACCTGGCGGGCGATTGTCGAACGACTTCCGGGTTAGTGGACGATGCATCAAAGTCCGAGGTTTGGTTATTTTCGCGATTATTATCATCAGATACCCTAGGAGGAGGAGAATCGACCGTCTCCAATTTGTCCAGCAGGGATTGGGATGGTGCAAGGTCCTATCGAATGATGATTGGTGTTAGTACGGACGAGGTCAGGAACGCCACTGAGTCGCTGTGTCAACTCACTAGCCCCAGCGCGACGCGTTGCAGCTGTGCGATGTCGATGCTGTCGTCTTGTGTTTCCATGATTTATCCTCTCCATAAGACCGTGAAATGCTAGACGCGAATCATTATTGTCCCTACCGGAGTATAAAATCCTATAGAAGCGTGCAATCGGCATTATCATTCTTACTTCATGGACCGAACCAGAGAAACGCGAAACACGAAAACCACGTGACTGCCGAAGTAATATTACCAGTTTAGGAGTAGAACGTATCTACTGCGGATGCTCAACTGAAGAGTTATACTACATCGCAAATACGAGCTACACAAGGACTTTGTGTGATTCACCAAAACTAAATGCCTATGAAAAGATGCCTAGTGTCTCATTGAAACCAAATTACCGGTCCAGACATGTCAAGACGCTCCCCATCTCGTCTCACAGTACTGCTACAGTAGGTCACTTCGCAAACCGAAGAGCAGCGAACAGGCTATTCATAATGTAGGAAATGATATAGAGGCAGTATCGGAGGCGAGGTTAGTCCCGCGTGCGGTTAGGAACCCACCGCCTGATTAACATTTCCCGCACCCTGTATCGAGAAAGGAGAGCCCCGATGTCCTCCGAGTGATTTTTCGAATCGTGAGATCGCGGCGGTGGAACTTCCACGTAACATACCACCAAGCTCTTCTTGACTTGCGCCTGGACTCTATTCACGCAATGCAGCCACCACCAACTTCGTGCCTGTTTCGTGGCACAAGAAGATCTCCTATCTGATGTTTCAGACCAGTAGGAGTGCTCGTAGGCAGGAATAACTACAACCGCAAACTCAGCGTGGGAGAACACTGGCCCGCGGTTGTACAGAAGATAATCCACTCCGAATTTAACCCCAGAGCGCACGACCCAGCCCAGGGATCGAAAGTGATGGTAGACAATGTACGATATCATAAAAGGATCGTCTGGGTTCAGATCTGTGGATGGATCACGTGGAGGGTAGTATGAGTTGTGACAGAATAAAGAGAGTAAAGATGTATGAGGAATGATGGTCTTCTGCTGATGATCGTAGACATGAAGAACCCCAAGCCCATAAGCAAGGAAAAAAGCCTCTTCGTTCGATAACTGTAAGTGCTCCTCGTTTTTTAGAGGAAGCTCTTCCTGCGAGGTCTCCTGAGCCTCTGTAACTGGCCCGGGAAGGCGTAGAATTGCCGAATCTGACGCAAATTCTTTCTCTTGAACAACAGGTGAAAAGCGAACTGCCTTGCTGGGAGACTCTTGCCCAGGAGATGGGGAAGCCGGGCCCTTGTTCTCCTGCTCCTTGGAACGCCGTGACTCGAGCATTCTAGCTTCTCTTGCTTTCCGAAGAGAGAACTTTTCGAGTGTAACGGCTGTGCCACCAGGAGCACCGTCTGTAAGTAGCGTCGCCGTCGTCTGGTCGACGGTAGTAGCACCACTCTCACGCGCCGCAGCTTCGGCCTTCAATCTCTGCTCAATTGCTACCTTCTCCATCCTCGCTCTCTCGAGTTTCAGTTCACGCCGTTCTGTTCTACGCTGCCGTGTGAGTTCCTCGTTGGTCTGGCCACCGAGTAATCCCCTCCGTTTCTTCTCCCGTTCCAGCCAACTTGGCTGACTTCGGCTTAAAGTGCCCTTTCCAAAGAACCCCATCTCCCACAAGGCTTGAATAGCCTTGTGATCCGTGACATGGACGGAGGACGTCGCAGAATCGAAGTAGGCGGCATAGGTTTCTTGGTGAGGTGGAGAGATAAAATAAGTCAGGTAAGACAGCACCACGCTAATTAGCGACAGAGGATTATGAGGAATGAGAGGCGGTAGAGGATGTACGTCGAGGGGAAGAGGAAAACGGTGAATGTGCTTGTAGTTAGGCTTCGGCGGCCTGGAGCGATGAGCTGGACGAGCATTATTGTGCGGCATGGATTTGGAGGGAGATCCAGCGAGCTCAGCAGGTGAACTAGGGAGTGATGTGGATGAAGAGGCCATGGTTAACAAAGATTTTGATTCAATTACACTATATCCAATTAAGGTTGCTATCTACAAAGCGAAGAGTCAGCTCGAAGCTTTCCATCGCAGATCCTCTTCGCGAACACAATGCAGGTAAAACAAGTTCTTCTCCTCAGATACCGTTGTAGTCAAAAACAAGCATTCACTGACAACAGCTAGAAATCAAAGTGCTATTGCCTAAGCTTGAAATGGTGTCATCACCGGAGAGAACAGATATATACCCTTTTAGTGTTGACCAGAGTAGTTATTGCTTACCAGAAAAGACGGTTTTCTGGACACCTAGTGTTGTGGGAGGGCAACGTAGATATCATGAGGCTTTCGCCGAAAGTCTTGCAGCTAACCCAAGGACTCCATCAACATCATGTTGGAATCCGAGTATGAGCAATGATTATCATCATATTATCGTTGCCATTTGAATGTGTGTTGAGCTTGAAGTTGGGAAGAGAAAAATGAAAAGTTCGGTTCGGCGTCGACGCAATTAAAAGCGTACTCGGAATGACTAAGCAAGCTCTCATTGGCCTGAGCTCCCATACTCTCCGACAAAAAAAAATTCCTCCACTTTATCGATTCGAATTATCACGAGGGCATTACAGTCGAGACAGCTATCGATCATAATTTAATTGTGCTTAGATCCGCTTCTTAGCCATATTCAATAATCCTCCATTCAAGTGAGTTTGACTCTTCTCGCCCCTGCGACAATTCTCTTTCCTATTGTATCTAAGTGACTGACTGGAACAGGATGCATCTTATGGTACGTTACAACGGACATCAGTCTCGTCGCGCAAAGGATAGACTATTCTGACACGAATTGTTCGCTAGTATGTTCTCGACAAGGATGGCAAGAGGGTGTACACCCTCAAGAAGGTCCTGGTGAGTGCTTCTTTACCATTAGGCGTGTCCGACTGACGCTAACCACGAATTCGCATCACAGAACGGCGAAGTCACCAAGTCTGCCCATCCTGCCCGGTTTTCGCCAGATGACAAGTACTCCAGGTAAGTCTTAGAGTCGCAGATCGATACGCCCGGTGTGAAAGGGAAGGAATTGAGCTAATCTTATACCTGAATGAACAGACACCGTGTTACCCTCAAGCGGAGATATGGCCTCCTGCTGACCCAGCAGCCTGGTACGACTCTTTCTTTAAATCGCCATCGTCTTCGAGAAACTAACAAAATCAACAGAGAAGACGAACGCGGCGCTGTGATAAGGGACGAATAGTAGCAATCTGAGCTGGTATACAAAGGGTGTTTTCGAGTCATTTATGGGCGAATGGTGTTATTGTGCAATCTTTTGAGGACAGAAAATGTCGTTTACTTCTTGCTCTTTTAAATAGACACTGCTCATACGAAGAGATGTCATCGTCGGACAATATGTGCCGCCAAAGAGTATGCACTTTTGCTTGATGAAACTAGTCTATGTGTTCATTCCGTCGTAGATGTCCTAGAAGCTGTATAAACATGTGGAAGGGAAAAGTACAACGAACTCATAATCACTTTTTGCATGCCAACCAACGATACCGCCGATGACCAGCCAAAGGGCAGAACACGCGTATTGACAGAAGAAACCCGTTAAATCTTGTCCAGATCCCAATCTCACCATGGATGCAAAGGTACTATATATGGGATGGCAAGGAAGCTGCGAAACAATTATCGCCGCCTTGCGTTGACATTCCTTCCAGCGCCGACTTTAGGTCTACCACCATGCTTGCTCCGTTCGCCAGTCAGAATTCCCGGTAAGTAATCCTCATCCATCAAGTCTCGCTCCTTGCGGAGCCTTCGACTCTCCTCCACCGATGCTCTGACGTATTCCTTCTGGTCTTCAGCAAGAATGAGCTCTGTTCCCCATCCATCCTTTCCGCCGCCGCCCTTCCACTTTCCACTAGCACTGCCGTGGGTGGGCTTGGGAATGCTGTATCGGTTGCCTCTATTGTTCCATTGCATATTCTTCTTCAGATGCATCTTGAATTGTCCGTTTGCATCTGTGGTGCAAGATACACGAGTGAGGGTATCTTTACCGCAGCGCGGGCAGAACTGCTTGGTCATGTCTTTTGTGGTGAAAAAACAACCGTGACAACGTTTGATGAAAGACTTGAGATGGCGGATTCTTTGAAGGGTAGTTGTAGAGAGCAAGTTGAGGTTCATCTGAAGCAGAACATTTTGGCACTATATGATGACGATCAGTATTGATTTCAATGCAGGGTTTAAACCGCCTTATTACGGCTTTTCCGGACTTACCGCAAAATCAGTGGTCATGGTTGCGACCTGCATAACCTTTGGCTCGGGTGCTGCAGACGCAGAGATCGACTCATCAAGGGCCTGTCGCTTCTTCAGATTGGAAGGCGTAATCCAGCCACCATCAGAATCAGAACCATCATCGTCCCCGCCTCCGGTTTCAGCGTCGTCGGCACCTCCTTCGCCGTCGTCGGCTTGTGCGGTCTCTGGAGTTTCTACGTCTTCTGTAGAGCGGGCTGGTTCTTCAGCGGCAGTGTCGTCGTTTTCAAATGTGGTCTTGCTCAGATCCTCCGCAACTCCGTCAACCTGTGGCACCTTCGAAGTCTCTGTCGCATCTGCCGCGTCTGCTGTCCCTGTTGTGTCTGCTGTTGTTTCTGCGATGTTCGCCTGCTCGGGCTCTTCCACTTTCTTTTCCTCCTTCACCGGCGGCTTGCCGTTCAGCTGTTTTTGGCCAGGGGTACTTCTCAGTCTCCAGTCGCCGCCATTTCTCTCGCATTCGACTTCATATGCGAGCGCCAGAACCTCGAGATCGGTTTTACTGAGCACGGCTCTATCACCAGTTTTTCGAGCGAATTCGCTGATCACGCTGACACTCTTCGGCGAGGGTGTTCGCTGCTTGAGAAACGGCAAGTAAAGTGTCTCGACTCGCAAACGAGCATCAGGGTCGCGGATTTCACGAACGACGGACGGAGTAATGAGGAGTTCCTCGCATTGTGTGAGCAATGTGGAAAGAGGCGGGGTATTCTTCAAGATCGGACCGGCATCAAGAATGATCGTGTGGACCGGCTTAGACGGGGTTGATGAGTCTGCCATAGTTTTAAATATAGATGGCAGAATCAGACAGAAACGAAACAGTGGCAGGTGCACAGACAGGAGCAGATTGACGATTGGTGAAGGTTGCGAATCTTTCTGCTGGTGTCGCTGGAATTTTTGGTTGGTCTGTGCGTTATACTTATCTTAGCGCGGTCTTATCAGTTCGTCAACTGGCAAAGTAGAGGCTCTCCGTGCAGCGACTCCCAATGGATCAGTATTGGACTAAATAGGCGCGCGCCCACTATCATTCGACTAGCTTTTCACTGATGACGAGAGCGGTTCATTGACTTCGAAATCAGGATGCTATCATCCGGCACTAGGACTGATCGAATCCCCGATCAGAGAAGATTTGAAAAGAACTCAACCAGGGTCCAGGGTCAGTGAACTGCTACTAATGCGTCGATTATACGCGCGTGTGGCGTTGAAGGATGTTGATATATTGACACACACTGAGGCGAAGTGATAAGGTTCACAGCGAACGATACGTGCGCATCGTCAAGTACTAAAGCCTTACTATTGCTACTACAGCGAAAGAACGAAATTAGCTGCAGACCGCAGTTAGATAAATGTCTTGGTCTGCGCCAAGTAAGCTCATCGGCGAATAAAAGTCTCACTTAATAGCGACCAGCTAGAGCAGGCGACGAAGACGTATAAAGGGTAAAAGTCAACAGCATGAGATAACAAGGAGCCAGGCGATGGATATCGGGTTATTGGTCGACAAGCCCACACAAACCACAGAAAAACATAGCCAAAAAAAGCGACCTCTAAGGTGGTCCAGAATGAGACGGTCTCAACCGAAACAGACGTGTCTATATCCCAATGGAAAGAATCACGAAAAAACAAAATCTAAAAGTCGGCAAACTCTTTGTCAACTTCCTCAAAGTGGTCAAAGAAGCCCTTGAACAGTTTAACGCCCAGGCCAGGATCCAAGCTACCTGTTGTGGCGCGAATGCTATGCATACTCAGTTGCGGGATGCCTACATCAATAGCCCTCATGCCGATGCGAGCGCTGGTCATGGGTCCGATGGTTCCTCCGCTGCGAGAATCGTTGCGGATCTGGAACACCTGCAAAGTCGAGCCGCATCGGTCGGCAACCCGCTTGATGAAGCCGTAACTGACACTATCAGTCGTCATGTGGCCATTCGAATCGGCGGAGACGGCCACGCCGACATTGAGGCGCGGGGCATGGTTCTCCAGGTACACGTTCAGAAAGTTAGGGTTAACGGCGTGAATGACATCTGAGGAAACGAAGAAGCTGTTGGCCACTGTCTGGGAGAGAAGATTGGGTCCGTAGTTAGACGATGCAAAGGCTTCCGTGATGCGTTCAATGACGCTGCTCATAAAGTTGGATCTGGCACCCTGGCGTAACAAGCTGCCTATCTCCTCATCGTCAAACATGCCGACCATCTTGATTGACCCAGTCGATGTGTCATCTGAAGAAGCTAGCAGCGCCTGCTGAGCGGCGTAGCAGCACAATTTGTCGTCGATGCGACCGGCGAAGATGAGGTCCTTCTCTAAGCCACCAAGGCGAGCTGGTTGACTGTCATAGAGCTCCAGCTCCCAGCTCAGGATTGTATCATAATCTGTGATCCCCAGCTCCTTTGAAATGATCTTGACCAATCTCTCTGGTTGAGTTGCCGCAAACGACCCGGGCTTGATACCACTGCTCGAGTGGGCGGTGGGTGACACTTGCTGCTGGAAGAGATCAGAGTTGTCGATACCAACTATAGGGACCATCTGCGTCTCCTTGTTAAAGGGCCCTTGCGAAGGAGCGCCAAAATGAGGAGCCAGAGTAGGAATCCGAGCAATTGGCCAGTCCAACTTGACCAATTTCGACTCTACCTTCCCGGAAGTGGGGTCCCGGACCAAGACACGACCACCGATCGACAGATCGCGATCCCACCATGTTTCGTTAAGGCCGCCCGCATACGGCGCAACACCCAGCTGAACGAATCCAGCCTTGGTAGGAAGCTTAGAGACAGGCTTCAATCTGGTGGTCAAGGCATCGATGTGGCCTGCCACAATAGCCAAGCCATTTCCACTCCGGTAATCCTTTCCCACAGAGAATGCAATAAACGCACTACCATTCCGGGTGCAATAGTACTTCCCACCACGTTGTAGCTTCGACGTCCAGACCTCACGCTCAGGTAGGCGCTTGTAACCTTTGCTTTCGAGCTCCTTTGTGAAACCGTCGACGGCGTGGAAGATTGTGGGATGCGCAGTCATAAAGTCACAGTAAGGCTGGGCATAATCTGCAGGAGAAAACGAGGTTGTGGTGGTGGTCGTCTGAGAAGGTGCTGTACTGGGAGCGTACACAGGCGTTGGGTCGGGGAGCTGGCCAGACAGGCGATAGGCCATGTTCGAATCACGAAGATCAAAGACGCTCTTCTTTGTCATTTTGACTTGCAACAACAGATATTCAGAGCTTTAGTAAACCGCTAAACGATAGATAGTATTTGAAAGAAGTCAATTGAGGTAAAGAAGGAGCAGCGAGGAGTATGTTGACAGCCAGTTTGGAGAAGGTCGGCATGACTCCGCTTATCGGTGACGAGGCGGGTCAGCTGATAAGCCTGATAAGGAAAAGGTGCCTGAAGACTCGGGCTATCCCGTACCCCGATATCACATCACTCGCGAGTAAAGAGACACGTTTAATTCTAGATGGTATAGGCTTTTTCCAGTTATCTTCTGCAAAGGAGATTGAATTACTGTAGTTTTGGTGAACAGTTTCTCTTGACCAGAACTATTGCTGGCGGTGAAAATACATGTATAGCTTCTCAAGACGCCTTTGTTGGAGGCTTGGAGCACCAGGCAAGGGTTGTTTTAACTCAGGACTGTAGATTGCTTCCATACCACCATCATGCCTGTATCGATTTCCTGAGTTAAATACAGGCAAGCTCCAGCCATGTCCACTAAATACCAACGCAGACATAGTAATTAGGCCAAAGACCAGCACAAGAAGTTCCCACGGCGGGATTCCAGGCGTAAAAGTCACTCAGCGCGATCCCGGCTGCCGCGGCAATATCATAACAGCCATCTCCACTAATAACAAGATAGAACTTCTTGCAATTAGTTACCATGCCTGTCTGGATTGGTGTAGGGGTGGTAACCCCGTTGCCAGAGGTCGTTGTAGTAGTCTTAGTAGTAGTGGTACCTGAGCCGCCGATGATTCCCACACAGACGTAGTAATTAGGCCAAAGACCAGCACAAGTGTTCCCTACGGCGGGATTCCAGGTGTAGAAGTCATTCAGCGCGATCCCCGCTGCGGCGGCAATGTCGTAACAGCCATCTCCACTAACAACCAGGTAGAACTTGTTGCAATTAGTCACCATGCCTGTCTGGATTGGCGTTGGGGTGGTAACCCCGTTTCCAGCAGTGGTTGTGGTGCTTGTAGTCGTAGTAGGCGTAGTAGTTGTAGAAGTAGTAGTAGTGGTGGTCGTGCCACCTGATATCACACCAACGCAGACATAATAATCGGGCCACAGGCCGCCGCAGGAGCTCCCAACTGCGGGATTCCAGGCGTAAAAGTTGTCGAGAGATATTCCCTGAGCAGCTGCAATGTCGTAGCAGGAGTCACCACTGACAACCAGATAGAACTTGTTGCAGCTGCTAACCATGCCGGTCTGCGTGGGAGTCGGCGTGGTGACGCCGTTCCCGGCTGAACTGGTGGTGGAACGTGTCGTAGTCGTGGGCGGCGTCCATGTTGGACTCTGGGTGATATAATTGACCTGCACGCAGTAGTAGAGACCTGAGATCAGAGTGCAGCCGTCACCAAGCTGACTGACGCTAGGGTTCTACTCCGAGTCAGTGCACATGTAGGTAAGAGGATACAGCTGGGCAGCTGGACACTTGCTCACCCATTCCTCGAATTCGGCCGCAGTCATGCCGTAAAAGCGGTGGATTATATCGCATGTCAGGCCGTATGAGGCCTGCACCCATGCGCTACAAGCCGACGCGGCCCCTGGTGCAGGTGTTCCTGGAGGGGTCACCAAATAGGCGTCGACCAGGCAAAGAGCCAGCGCGGAGGCAAGAAACCGGAGGGCCTTCATCATTCTGGTCAGGGGTATGTGATAGCAGATGAGTATTGAAGCATGAAAGAGAGTGGGATGGATGAGAAGCGAGGTAGTCAAGAAAATAGTAAGAGCCGCTGCTTTCAAGTCTGCCTACAACCTCCTCGCATTATTGGCATCAGCCCCGGCTTTCTCCGTTATCACATCGCTAGGTGTGATTCAGTTTGATCCCTCAGACATAGGCTATAGCTAGGATAATTCTAAGCCGGACTTTGGCCGCACTTGGAATAATTTCCATGTCCCGACTTGTATAGTCCATAATACCATCACCTTTACAGATATTGTAAGCTGATTGGGTAGAGACCATATTTCAATATGTAAATTTGATCATATGAATAACATCAGCCCCATGCATCATGTCAGCAGCCTAACCAGGCCCTTTTCGGGTAATATACTAGGTGGTTGACAAGATCCACTATCAGGCACTCCATGCATTAGCCGCACGCGCCATGTAACATTGCCAAAATCTCACTCCTCTGCGGAGCGCCGGAGAACTCCCGTGCATCCTTCAGCGTCCGTATATTTATCATTTGCCAAGCTGATTTGCCAAGCCAGGCTCATTTTACAAGAGTCTGATCCTGAGCCTAAGCACTAGGGTGACTGAGCTTAGTCCAATGTGATCTTTGTCTATCAAAGTCCGCTACTAACTAGTTAATCATGCATGATGCCCCCTCCGCCCCTCTGCAACGTGCAGATACGTGTGGTCCCCGGCAGGGCGTCCCTAGCCGTACTGTACATCCTGTATCTACTGTATGTATACCTTAGTATCGATAGTTTAATCTACTGCTTACAAGGATAGAGCAGGGAGTGGGACTGTTCTGGTTAAGGGGTTACATTCAGTCATGGCTAGGAGAGTGAACTTCGGCAAAATGAACATTGACAGATGCTCTCCCCGTGAGACGATTCATGGTTAGACTTTGACACTTGGCTATGGAATGGATCTCGGCTGCCAAACTGCTTCCTGCTCACTGCCAGCCAAGTCTCTGCTTGTGGTCTGTGGTTTTGTTAAGACTCGCGGATTGACACTATCCGCGTTCCCAGATTGATACTTATCCAAGGTCCTTCAACGCCCTTTTTTCGACTTTTCCCCTTCTATCTTGGTGATAACCTCCTGTATCTAGCAGTCCTTCAGCCCAACATGCGGTGGTCTCTTGCAGGGCTGCTGCCGTCGCTCTGCCTTGTCGTCCTCACCAATGCCTCCCCACTGGGTCATGAGAGCGCCTACGATATTGAGGGAGTTGACTCCCTCAACACTCTCGTTCGCAGAGTTCGAACCGGCCCAGGTGGTGGCACAGTCACCACCCCAAAGAAAACGACAGATCTCTTTCTGCTAGATAGCGGCCCGGGAGGTTGCACTAGCAAAGAGGCAACCCTCGATAACTGGTTGACAGAGGTCTTTCTCCTCCACGACGCGATCAAGACGGCGTACGCAAACATCCAAGGAGATAGGTCTTGGATGCTGATGTGGTACACCTGGTTCGGAGTCCAGCTTAATATGCAGACCGGAGGTGTGGACGTGAGTGACGCGGCCAACAAGCAGCTATGGGACACGATTGGAGGTACCTATTTTTCTCTCTACACACTACGTACAGTGTGCTCTTGGATACCTAAGGTTAATTTTGATATAGACCACATCTCCCGCGTTACCAAATTCCTTGCCGGAGCTGGCCTGGCCAACCCCCAGGTGGCAGGAGAAAACCCTCGCCTGTTCTGTGGGCCCGAGGCAGGCGAACATCAACCCTGGTCTGAATCGGTCGTCAAGGATCATAACGGCCAAGATGTAGTCACCGCGAGAGATCCCGACACTCAGCAGCCGACCGAGTACTTGAAGCTTGGAACGGCGTTTCTGAGCACAGTCCGGGACCCAAATGCCAATGCCTTTTGGTTCAGCGCGTTTAACGGCTACGACCTTGACTTCAGTGGCGAAACAAGCCTATGTGCCGAGAATCCCAAAGATGGGAAGCGCCGGTTCGCCAAAACTGCCCGACCAGCATCGTCGTGGCCAGTAATATTCTCGGACGGCGCAGACTTTACCTTTGGCAGAGCCAACAGACACATCTTGTTTTGCCCCCGGTCCTTTTCTCCTCCTACCGGATTCCATTCCTACCCGTCACTGACAAAGGCCGTCGAGGAGGACAATTACCCCACAGCTGGAATGAAGGACGAGAACGAGTCTCTGGACAAAATGATGCCTGTTAGCTCTACGTTGTACCACGAGCTCTACCATCTGACCGATGATGATAACACAAAGGATCAGGCTTGTACGTATTTGACCCTTCTCCGCGGTTTCTTTCTTTCTTTCTTCAACCCACTTTCGACTAACCGCCTGTTGGACTGTAGACAGCCTGGATAGGGTCATACGCAACGCTAGGGACCCATCAACAAGAGAAGGCAACTCCCACAACCCAGAGACATACACCCTTTTCGCCACGGCGGCGTATCTGTACCTCAATGCACCCCAGGACGAAGAACCCTGCTTGTACATCAGTGGTTTCCCCAAAAAGGCTTCTAATCCTTTTGCCTGATCATAGCAAAGAAGGAATCAAGGGCCCGGCGTGGGGGTGGGGGGGGGTGGTTTCGAAGTGTTGGATAGGTAGGGCATATGACTTCAACAGGTCGCTTAGGCAATGTAACCATGTCAGAAATTAGGAGCGTTATATTCTTTTCAAGTCAGCTGAACATTCCGAGGCAATAAGAATTATAGTGTCTGTCTGACTGATTTGCAACGCACCGTAGTACAATGTCCCTGGTTTGAAGTTTCTACTCTGTACTGACCGCTAGTATAATTCTCACAGTTTGTATGCACTCGCAAGTTGCAATCTCGCCAAAATGCTAGTCCTTGCTAGTGGCTTCGGGGGCGGGATTGGCAATTACGCCCCCATCACGCTCTTCATACATCCTTGTTCAAAAGGGCCCATGTGTTGTTGGTGGGATATCGCCAGGATTCAAGCCTCATCGGGCCGTACTCCGGATAAAGGCAGTAGCCGCAGTATTGTGCCGACTCTTTTTCTAGTTTGAGGCTACTAGCCTGTGTGATATAGTTAGAGGGACGCTTGTTAGGGGCCGGCTTCTTGGCAGTCATTCTGCACTCATGGCCTGAGGGTCTGAGCCTGTCGACCAGTCGAGATTTGAGTACTTGATTCATGGGGAAAGTAAATGCCGATTTGTATAGGAGAAGGGTGTGTGGGGTGATGCAAGCGAGCTGAAGGAGCCCAAATCAACCCATGACTCGAACCATGCAGCTAGGACTCTTAGTAGAGAGCTAAGGCAGGTCCAAAGGAAGTACGTACTCCATAAATGCGCATGCTGCACATGCATGATGGCAGGCTGCTAGTGCTAGAATAAGCCGTAATCCTCCCCAATGCCCGAGATAATATTTTGCACCACTACCAAGTCAAATCATGCAGATCCACTACTTAGTTGCTCACCTCGATACTACCATGCACACATGCCAGAGATACAGGGGTGTTTTTCATGCCTGGGCCCAACTGCGGCTCACGCTATCAAAACATACCGCTAATTTACTGCGATACAAGCGTCAAGCGAAGGTATCTACTATGTACTCCTAAGTACGTACCTCTGAGGGAGCCGGTATTGCGAGCATCCGGATCGGTTAATAGGGGGTCAGAGGAGCATGTCCAAGAGGCGCAGCATTGTTCACGCTCCTTCATAAGCGATCAACTTCGAGACTGGTGCCAGAGGCCGTCCTTCTCTCTTCCCCCTCAAACCATTCTTTGCGGTCTGCTTTGTCTCTCGAAGCGGCCATTCTTTGCCGTATCAAGATGAGACTACCTTCGCTGGCGACTGCCGTTCCCCTGGCAGTCGTCTGGGCTTCCTCAGCCGCTCTGGTATCAAGCAGCAATGCCAATGATGCGGCCAACGCTTTCCTGGCGTCCCTTTCTGTCAGCACCGTCTCAAAAACTGTTGCCGGCAGTCCAACAGACCTGGCAAGTGCGCGAGAGGCCATCCTTGCCGGGAACTACACCTCGCGGCTGCACCACCAGGGCAGAGATAGGTGCCCCGGGGGGTGTAGCAGTGCTGGTATCGATACCAGCGCTTGGTTCGTGTATGGCAGCCTCGGCCGTCTCGACAGGGCGTGCAACAGGCCCATGCTCCTGGACTTTGCGCTGGTCAACCCCATTGACGACGAAAAGTCGCATGTCGCCATTTCTGCGTGTACCGCGGACTATGCAGGACTGTCGGATAATAATGCGCCTGCTTCTAATTCGAATTCTGCCTGCGCTTTGAAGGGCGTCGCGCAGACCAAAACGACATCGTCTTTGCAGTTGGCATCTTCGGGTGCTTCGTCTTCGACGCACGTGGCTGATGTCGCCGCTGCTCTGGAGCAACTGCGGGCATTTGCGACCCTGGCTGATGCCGGCTGTAATGAGACCATAAAGTACGCCTACTCCCGTGACGTGGCTGTGGGTGTGTATGCTGGTTCAGGCCTGGCTGGCCAGGGGGTGCTCAGCGCGGTTCTCCAGAAGCTCAGCGCTCAAGTCAAAGACGACGGCAGCGTTGCCGAGAGTCTGTCAGTCGAAATGTGCAGCAATGCCTCGGCCCGGTACTCATTGAGTGTCCTGGTCAACACCCAGGGCGACCTGGGTGCGGTCCAGCGTGGACTGCAGGCATCCAAGAACGGCAGCTGTGTGTCCACGGAGACCAGGATGACTGCCTCTGACTGGCAGACAGTGACCTATCTTGTTCCTGCTGCAACCAACATCACCCGGCCCAGCAACTCGACCAAGCTCGTCTCAACCCGTGCTACCGAGTGCCGCACCATTCAGGTAGAGTCCGGAGACTCGTGTGCCTCACTGGCGACCGAATGCGGCATCACGCCGGCACAGTTCACACAGTACAATCCCTCCTCCAGTTTGTGCTCAAGTTTGACCCCAGGCAAGCATGTCTGCTGTAGTGCCGGTACCCTTCCAGATTTCACGCCAAAGCCCGGCGCGGACGGGTACTGCTACTCGTATCTCGTGAAGACGGGCGACTCGTGCGCATCACTTGCGGCGGCCTACGACCTCACTAATGAGAAGATCGAGTCGTTCAACAAAGAGACCTGGGGCTGGAACGGCTGTGAAAAGCTGTTTGCTGACTACAACATCTGTCTCAGCACTGGCTACCCGCCCATGCCGGCCACCATTGCGAACGCTGTCTGTGGACCGCAGGTCAATGACACGGCAAAAGCACCCCCGGGGACGGACCTGAGCACCCTGAACCAGTGCCCGTTGAATGCGTGCTGCAACATCTGGGGTCAGTGTGGAACGACGGGAGACTTCTGCACGCCTTCCAACTCGTCTACGGGGGCTCCAGGAACGGCTGCCCCTGGCCAGAACGGCTGCATCTCCAACTGCGGCATGGATATCATCACGTCCAGCGCACCCGCAGAAACGTACAGCATTGCCTATTTCGAAGCCTTCAACTGGAAACGCTCCTGCCTGCGCATGTCCGTCAATAGCATTGACACTTCAGCCTATACGCACATCCACTACTCCTTCATTACGCTGAACGAGGACTTTTCCATCAACATCGATGAAGTTGCCGATCAGCTGCCCCTCTTCAAGGGTATGGCCGGCATCAAGAAGATTGTTTCTGTTGGCGGGTGGGCGTTCTCTACGGAGCCCGCCACATACCAGATCTTTCGCAATGCTGTGGCCACCCAGGCCAATCGCAAGGCGCTGGTCACGAACATCATCAAGTTCCTAGACGACTACAACCTCGACGGCGTCGACTGGGACTGGGAATATCCTGCCGAGCCCGACATCCCTGGCATTCCAGCGGGCACCGAGGCTGAGACCACCGGTTTCTTCTTGCTGCTGAACGAGCTGAAGCAGGAGATGCCATCTGGCAAGACGGTCTCCGTCACCGCACCCGCCTCGTTCTGGTACCTCCAGTACTTCCCGATCGAAGCTCTGAGTCTCGTCGTCGACTACCTGGTGTACATGACCTACGATCTCCACGGACAGTGGGACTACATCAACAAGTACGCAACTCCAGGGTGTCCGTCCTACGACCAGGGGTTGGGCAACTGTCTGCGGTCCCACGTCAACCTCACCGAGACCATCAATTCACTGTCCATGATCACAAAGGCGGGTGTGCCGTCCAACATGATTGTCGTCGGTGTCAGCAGCTACGGCCGCTCATTCAAGATGAGCACCCCGGGGTGCTGGACTGAGCAATGCACCTACACGGGGCCCGACTCCGGGGCGTACCCGGGCCGCTGCACCAACACCTCTGGCTACATCTCCGACTACGAGATCCGTGAGATTATCCGCCAGAATCCCACCGTCCAGGAGCTCTGGGATGCGAACTCGTACTCCAACATTGTCGTCTTCAATGACACGGAGTGGGTCGCATACATGGACGAGGACAACAAGGCAACGCGCAAAGCCCTCTACCCGGGGCTCGCTTTCCTGGGAACTGCAGACTGGGCTGTCGACTTGCAGTCCGAGAATGGCGGTGGAAGTGGCTCAAACAACAATTCATCTTCCGGCGGGACCATCTATGTCAATCCTGATATCTGGAACTCCGCAGCGCCTGTGGTGACTGCTCCTCCCGGTGCATCCCTCATTTGGCCCCCCATGCCTCTATCGACTCCCACAACCATTACTTTCCCTCCGTGGACGACGACCATCTCGTACTCCAGTCTTACAACGCGCACAAGCACTCTTTCCGACGGCACAACCTCGACGTATCCGGCGTACGTCTATGAGTCGTGGCTGACTGTGATCACGATTCCTCCTTGTGAGTACACACTCTCTCTATACACCGTAAGGGGTACGCAGTTCACTAATAGACGCGCCTTTTCCAGTGACGACTACGGCCATCAATGTCTGGGGCGTTTCCCTTCCTAGCAGCTCCAGCTCCAGCTCGACAGATGGGCCCGTTCCTATCATTTTGACAAGCTCGGTGCAGCCACCCCCATTTACCATTACCGTTACCCCGTAAGTCTAAAGCCTTCTACCTCTGGGGGGCAAGTTCCTATTAACCAACTCGACTCGTTTCTCTTCAGCGTACTAAGCGGCACCACCTCTATCATCGGGGCCACCGAGACCACGACAATTTCCTTGGACCCCATCATTTGGGGCTCCTCGACCTACTCGCCTCCGGTTGAGACGAGGACTCTGGGTGGAAGCACCACCGTCATCGGCGGGAAGACCTTGCCCCCGACACCCATCACTGTCACACCCAACCCGCACCCCACGACCACGCCGGAACCTGGGTCCACGGACCCTGCGCTTAATTCCAAGAAACCCTCCTGGACACCTGGCAAGCCACCGACCCCTACAGCCGAACCGGGCTGTCCTGGGTGCGGCACTCGTTGTGAGTCGCTGTGTTTCTTTTTTGTCTTCTACATGTGAAATGGCCTTAGCAACTAACACGACTTTCACACCATCTAGGTCTCTTGTTCTGCAATCCCGACTGCCCCTTCTGCCCACCGGGTGCATTTGGCCCTCCTGGCGGTGGCGGAGGGGACAACAATAACAACGATGACGACGACGACGATGACGACGAGGACCCTGATAACGAAGGCGCTCAGTACACGATTGTGTATGACTCTATGGGCGACGACCCCTTCCCGACAGCTTTTGTCGGCGCGGCGGACCTCTCGTCCCTCGATGCTGAGGTTATGTCTCGCGTCAGCTCCGCATGGGGCCTCAGCACCACCACGACAACAACGACTACGAAGCCGACGACAACAACGACGGAAAAGCCCACTCCCACACCGACTGCGGACTGCATGTTCTGGGACAGCATCTTCTACTACACGTTCGAGATCTACAATATCGACGGCTGGGTCTCAGACGGCGGCGACTCGCTGCACGACGAGGAGGGCGGGTGCGGCGCTATGACGGGCTGGGAGTGGCACGAGGAGTCCTCGGACCACTATGCGTATGTGTACTTCAACTTGCCTTTCTTCATGAAGGAAGGCTGCGTGGAGAGGGCAATTGTTTCGGCTGGAGGACCGAAGATTTCGTGCAAAGGCGGAGGGATTGGCCCGACGAAGCGAGACGTCAACGTTGACGTTGACTTTGACATCGAGGCCGAGGAGGAGGAGGAGGAGGATGATGATGATGACGAGGACGAGGACGTTTGGACCAGACTGGATGCGCGAGGCACTGCGAAGACGCTGGACACGCCGGCCTTCCCGTCCTGGACAGACGAGCAGCTGCAAGAGTTCCAGAGTTTCTATGAGGCTATCAACATGCAGTCTGGGACGGCGGAGAAGACCTATGTGCCGATGACCTGGGGGGCGACAAGTACAAGTCCGATGACTACTTCTGCTTAGTAGTGATTAGGGGTCCTTGTTACTTGTAACTGGTTTTAGATATGTCCTAGTGTACCATGTCCATAGCTTGTAGCCTTGTTCCCGATGAATAGTTGTATTCAATCCAGGCGCACTGATGAGGAGTACGCGGGTCCCTGTCCACCTATACAAATATCTGCGTATAGTAACAGGTCCAACGACCTATCACGGTAGAATTGTTTCTCTCGTTACTGCCCCTAAGGCGACCAAATCCCCTGGGAGGGGGGCACATCACGTGTCAGGCTCTACGGGGGGCATATAACTTATATATATGTATACACTAACCCCCCACCAGGTTCTCGACATTATTAGCCCTCTCTCTACAACTCCCCTCCAAAACAGAACAAATTCAAAAATCAAATGCCTGAGACCCTCCACAAAAGTGAAAGCAATGATGGTACGGGTGACCAGATCGGTCCTGGAATCCTGACTGTTAAGCTCGGCTGGGCTTATGGCCTGAGCCTCCCAGTTTCAGACGACCCAGATCCAGACCCGGAAATGTGCGAGCGATGGCGCCCGTACGCGATCGGAGAATATGAAGGGCTCCAGCTGTCTACAGAGGCGATGGCCGTCTACGCCGCCAAGGGAGCGGTTTCATGGGCGGCAGGGCACCGGCCATTCAAGTTTGAGGTCTCTGCGTCTCCGGCCTCCGAGTTGACAGTATCCCTATTTGTCAGGGATAGCGACTCTGATGCGTCGTCGTCGTCGTCGCCGGGGGAATACGAAAACCAGTGCATCTCCCTTGGACTGATCAGATTGAACCCGTTCCTGATGAGTTCGGGTAAGCAAAGGGTGGACGTCCAGGATGGCACGGGGAGAGTGGAGGTCGAGGTTTCCTACACGCAGAAGGAGGTTTCACCCTTGGAGACGCAGGAAGTGTGGAGTGTCCGCGGGGAGAACAGTTCCGGTGATCTCGATCTCGTCTATGTTGAAAAGAAAGACACCGGTCGAAGCTACGGCATGAAGGCCGTTGATATCCGCACCGTGCACGCTGGTGCTGCTCCTGAATCTGACGCAGATACAGACGCTGTTAACATGGCACCCAGCCTTAGCCTCCGCTCTGCCATCCAACACCCTTTCATTGCACCGCTGAAATTCGCTTTCAGGTCGTCTGAAGGGGCGCTGGATCTACTTTCGCCACTGGCCAGCGGCGGATACCTTTTTGACCATTTGCAAAGAGAGCGGCAGTTTAATGTCCCCAAGGCGAGATTTTATGCGGCGGAGCTGGTCTGCATACTGGAATACCTGCATGAAGACAAGCATATCATTCTCCATTCTCTGGAGCCAGAGAATATTCTCCTGGATTCCTCTGGCCATGTCAGTCTATGCAAGCCTGGCCTTTTCGGATTGGAATTGGGGGATGGAGATCACATCTTGCCCGGCACACCCAAGTATCCAGCCCCTGAGGCTCTTCTTGACGACCGAGAGGCTTCCAGGGCAGTGGATTGGTGGGCTTTGGGGATCATTCTCTATGAAATGTTGATGGGCATACCCCCTTTTTACCACAAGGACGGCGGCGAGCGCCGGCATAAGATCCTTGGCCAAGACCTACAGCTACTTGAGAGCCTGCCATCGAGTGCGAGGGACATTTTAACAAAACTCCTCGATAAAGACCCTATAGAACGCTTAGGTGCAAACGGAGCCGCCGAAGTGAAAGCTCACCCATTCTTCCACGCTGTGAAGTTTCATGAATGCATCCAGCGGAAATATACAACTCCCTGGAAACCCCACGACGCCGCAGTGATCTTCTGGCGGGAGCCTTGTACATACCAGCCCTTCAAACGCCCGGAACGGGAGCAACGAGAATATGAAGGAGAGGTGTACGAGCAAATAGGCACCACTGAGTTTCCTTTGTGGATACCAATAGGTTCAGTCAATGACCAAAATAAACGCCACGCCGCAGACAAGAATGCTTCAGTCTCACAGAATCGCGGGGATGATGATAATGATGGATGGGAGTTTACGTGGGAGCCGACAAAGCAAGAGTCTTACTTCAAGAATCGTTTCACTGACGAAAGGGTTACGGCCAAACCCAAAGCTGCAGTGCGGGACAAGATGTTGCCCCCAGCAGTTGAGCATGAAGCACTCGCAGCTGCATTGGAAGTCGGATACAGCCAGCATGTGTTTTCCGAAATCCTCAGATACAGTCCAAATCTGAACGTGCGGATTCTCGACTATGACCAAACGCCCGACGGTATAGGGATAAGACCAGAGACTCGGGACATCATACCGGTTACACCACTAGAATGGGCCGTAGAGCACGAAAGGCTGGATCTCGTTAATCTCTTCCTGGAGAACGGCGCTGACGCGAACTTCACCATCTCCCCGCGAGACGGACCAGCGCTGCTCAAGGCAGTGAAAAGAAAGTCCCAGAGGCTGGTTGAGCTTCTTGTGCCGAAAACCGACCGCGTCTCCTGCACCAGAGCCCTCGCTCTCGCAGTGGAGCAGCAGGACATCACGACCGCCAATACCCTTGTTGCACAGGGCGTGCGCTGTGACTTTGAAGAATCCGATCGGCCCCTTCCGCCCCATCCCTTCTTTGGGGACTACGAATCTAATCTCTCGCGAGGACTCGAAGCGGAGGACTTGACGCCTCCTCTCGTCCGGGCTGCTAGACTAGGCAACGTGGCTCTGGTAGCGTTGCTCCTTGAACACGGTGCTGATGCCAATACCGCGTACCACGATCTAGGCGGTCGTCGCGGCGATGGATATGAAACCAGAGATTCGACCATCCCAGCCAACTTCTCCTGCGGAAGGGTCGTACAGATAGCGATGGAGATGGGCCATTGTGAGATCGTCCATTTGCTCGTCGATGCCGGCGCTGATATCGCCCTTCCACACCCGGTCTGGCCTAAACCAGTCTGGCCTGTGCCCGGTCACATCTGTCAGCCCGTACCGAGGGCTGTGTACGTCGAGGTCAGGGCTGGCCTGCTGGCAGCGGTAGCAGCAAGAAGAGGGCAAAAGATTGCACATCTGACCAGAATTAGATGAGTCAAGATATTCGGTGGTGAAGCCCTATTGACATTATAACGCTTCATCAGGACGTGGATAACATAAAGATGATAGTCCTGAGTTTCCTTCTATGGGGTTAGGACCCTTAGTGAGCTGACTCTATTGTATGAAGTAACTAACTAGTAGAACAGAAAATCAAAGATACAGCAGTTTGGGCGCAACTATCTGAAGTACGTTCCAGTAACAGGCTCGACTTGAATAACACCTGAAGGAGACGGAAGGTATGTTACAGAGCCTACAGACGTTGAGCTCGCGGATGTGATGGTGCAAGTAGTAATAAGGAGACGAGAACATGTGAGAGTATAACTGCTTTCAGATGCTGGCTTTATTCTGGGGCGTATGATGTATTTCAGACCGCCACCTAATACTTCATTAGGCTTGTTCTTAGCAAATCGACTTACTCTTATTCATGATTAGCATGTGTAATTCTGATCTACGTTATATTCAGCATAGTAGTCACTGCTTTTTTAGCACTGATATTACCCCCCAGACGAAGCTTGTAGGTAAAGGCAGTTAGTCGCCATTCTTACATTAATCGTCGATAAGTGACTACAACCAGTGGGATAATAAATATTATTCATAATATCGACATGAATATGCAAATCTGTCACCGAAACGATAGCTTCGTCCAGTCTCTAGTCACTCGACCCCACATAGGCGTTCCAGTCCACCTTGTTATGGATACACCGGTTCGTGATAGCTGGTCCCACGGCCGATGCCTTTTCCTCGTGGTCACGGACAATGGCAAATTTCACACGACCCGTCTGTCCGTTAAAAGGCACGGAAAAGTGGTTGATAACTGAAGCTTGTGCCCTAAGGACTGTCGGAGGATGCTCGCCAATTTGGACGTATACATGGCTCGGCTCCGGGACAAAGGCACTGACAAAGACTCGATCCTGAGCAACTTCTTGGGGAGGCATTGCGGGCTGGCCCATGGCCGGATTGTTACCAGTGGTTCCATCGGCGCTACCCGAGCCACCTGGGTTCAACCGGTACCAGTACACGATTTTATCCGCAAACGAGATGGGGTACTGGGTTTTCGAAAGTGTGGAGAATCTGCATGAGCTTTGCTGGCATGTCGGACTGTTCCGTCTGTATGCATCGATGTAGTGAGGCAAGAAGGTGCGCCACGCGTCATGAGGATGCCCGGAGACATAATGTAAAGCTCCCTCAGGCACGCCCTCTTCATGGATCGGTCCGATATAGTGTGCTTCTCCATAATCGTTCCAACTGAGGATCTGAGCCAGTATATCGTTAGAGCAAGCGGTCGATGAACATATCCGACTAAAGGGAATTTACCTGGACGATAGGCGGCTGTAAATCCATGATCTGGCGCCAGCGGTAATGCCATAGGTCATCACCGCGCCATAGCCAATTCTTATGCCACTGAGGGAGATTGGTGTAGAACCAGGGAGCCACCGGCAGCATATACGGCTTCCCCGCAAGCGCTTTCATCCATGCCTCATCACTGGCTGTGTCCTTGTCCTGGGCTCCGACGGGCCAGGCGTCCCAGCTGAAGGCACCGTCAATAATGTCGAAGACGCCGGCGATGCCCGTTGGGCCCAGGCTCGTCCAGCACGGAATGAACATGCATCCAGTTGCTGCCTTGATATTTGGCCAGTCATCTGTGTTGCCTACGCCCTCGAAGGTTGACACCAAGGGCTTGTCCCTGAAGTAAAACTGTGCAGGTCGATCCTTGAATGCGTTGATGGTCTTTATCACTCGATCTGCGGGCCATGGTCCACCGGACAAGTAGTCGAAGGAGAGGAACAGAGAAAAGTTGCCCACTCTCTCCGCGGCATCATATGCGACTTGGAGCACTCTATCAGTGTAGTCGTCCTGGGGAGCGATGTTCAATGCGAAGCCATCAATATGAGCCTTCTGAGCCTCTATGATGTCCGCCTCCCACTGGGCGGGTGTCATGGCCGCCGCATTTCCAACCTAGAAGCGTCAATACTCAATGTCAAGTTATGACTCTCCAGGAGAGTAGTCTCACAATGAAATGGGCGAAGACGCTCTGCTCTTCAACAGGATACTGAGACACGACTGAGGAAACTGCAAGCAGCATAAGAACCAAGTACGTGAGAATCATCTTGGCGATGGAAACGGGGCTATGAGGTTCAAGAAACGTAGGAGGCGAAACTCGGTAGGGAAAGAAAGAGAAAGGGAAGATAGAAGAAAAGGCAAAGTAGTAAAAGGAAGGACAAGAAGAATTAGTTGAGTACGACCGAATGAAGAAGGCAACAGTGAATTGACCAAGAAGAGCCTGAAAGTATTCACTTCGTCCAACTGCCTCAATCTACTCCAGGCATCGAAGAACGTGAAGCAGAAAACAGACTCGAGGAGATTGTCCCCACAATCAGCTCATAAAGTGAATGAATTCGGCCAATTTTGGTACAATCCTGGAAGAAGCCTATCCTCTACTGGTCATATCATAATCGACTTGCTTCTGCAGTCCGCCGCAATCACTCGGGGCGTGTGAAAGAGACATACGCGACAACATCTTGATCAAGACGCAATCAAAAACAAAACATCGTGAGTCTGATCAGGCATGGCAAGGAGAGGAAGAATGTATGAGAGTCATGCTTACCTTGGACAGGAAGAGGATCGGATTGTGGATGTCTCTCTTTGGTATGGACGTGACGCAGAAGACGATCAAGGTGTCTCTTCATGGCAATTGCGCATGGAGAACCACGCGGTTATGAAGAATCTGGGGATAAAGGATGAGCAATCTATCAGAGAATCTTCGAATAGTCCCATTCCACCTTGCGAAGAATGCACAAGATAAGAAGCGTCTTCGAGAATGAGTCTTGAGCGGATCAGTCTCGAGAGGTACTTGGTATTTATTCAAGCAAACCGCAATGGCATAGACGACAACGTATCACGATCGTACTGAGTCCTTGATATTGTTACGCAAAGCCTGGCTTTGTTTTGCTGGAGATTGTGAGAGCTCGATCGATCTTGTATCTTCTCGAGTGAGAATGCGGTGGACGAGGCCAAGACAAAGGCCAAGTTGCTGGATACGGTCGCCATCATATCCGTAATAACGTCGCGTCGACTTTCATCCCTTAATTGGTTGAACAAACTAATCGCACATGGACTAGTTACATCGATCAGGTCGACATGCGAAAATTTTCTCTAATTTCCAACGCTTATCTTGAAGTCTGTTCGTGGCCACATCGCGAAGAATGATGAGATGTCTTATCCGTAGTTATGATCGACATCGCTTACCGTTGAAGTCTTGCACGGTCAAAGTCTTTCGTACGAATAACTTAGGTATTATCATCGCTCAACCAGAACTAATCACGAGCCATGCAGACATGCCAATTGAATGGCGCTCGAGACCGGATCGATTACTTTTTAAGTCTTCATTTCAACAAAAGTCCCCTTTTCCAGGAAATCCAGGTTGACCCCCGGCTGTGACGAAGGGGTGATGTCAGTGCCACGATCAACTCATATAAGAAGAACTGCAATGCAACAGACTTTATCATGACGGAAAGGAATCGATCATCTCAACTACAGCATATATCTGACTACACATCGAAGCTAGAGAATCGATCTTGGACAACTTTGCGTGATAGGAACTCGACATGGCCGCCTCTCAAGCTGCAGGGCTCGTGGAAAAGGTCATTGGACATGGAGACAATGCAGCTGTCACGACTGATGTGAGCAATTATTCCAAGAATGAATATGGACAGGGGACGGGTGGCAGAATCAAGGCGACAACCTGGCAAGGAAAAAACAGCATCAAAGTTGGTGGGTTCTCCAGGATCGTGCGCATGTGTATTCCTTCTCTCTGACATCGACGGCCTTTACCAACAGTCGAAATGCCTAAACCTAGGGTGATTGACGAAGCTGATGTCATCGTCAAGGTGACGGGAAGCACAATTTGTGGAAGCGATCTCCATTTATATCATGGTATGATTTGTGGTCCCCATAGCCGCAGCACTCTCTGGGAAAGGCGCGCGCATCACTAACCCCCATCTCATAGGCGTCATTCCCGAACTTGAAAAGGGCGATGTTCTCGGACATGAGTTCTGTGGTGTAATTGAAAGCGTGGGACCTGGTGTCAAGAATATCAAAACCGGCGATCGAGTGGTGGCCGCATTCCCAATCGCTTGTGGGAACTGCATGAACTGCAAGAAGCAGCTGACTTCGGCCTGCGAACGGACAAACTCCAATAGCATTGCAAACGCATTGTATGGCAAACGAACAGCCGGTTAGTGACCCCCGCGGAGCGATCCGACTCCCAACGAAGTATTACTCACTGATTCTGCTTGCTGTAGGCATATTTGGATACAGCCATTTCACCGCTGGTTTTGCGGGAGGTCAGGCGGAGTATGTTCGTGTGCCAGAAGGAGACGTCAACCTGCTGCAGCTTCCGGATGATGTTCCATTTGAGAAAGGACTTTATCTATCTGATGTTTTGGCCACCTCGTATCACTGCGTGACTGATACAGGAGTGGACAAAGGTGACGTTGTTGCGATCTGGGGTGCCGGCCCCATTGGACAGATGTGTGCCAAATTCAGTTTCGATCAAGGTGCCAGCAGAGTGATTCTCATCGACGGTGGAGAGGGTGCTTGGAGACTTGACTTTGTCAAGTCCAAGATCCCGAAGGTCGAGACTCTGGACTTTACCAAATTGCCAAGGGGAGAGTCGGTGACTTCGGAATTGAAGAAGAGGGTCCACGGCGGCCCGGATGTGGCTCTTGAGTGCGCCGCCGGCGAATATGCCAAGGGATGGCTGCATTACTTTGAGACCCTCCTGGGAATGGAGACGGACACATCGGAGATCTTGAACGAGATGATCACATCCGTCCGGCCTTTTGGGCGAGTGGGCGTCACCGGCGTCTATGCTGGCTACGTAAGTCACATTGTCCTCCACGATATTGGGAACGCCCCAGATTAACAACTGATTGCAGACCAATCATTTCAACGTGGGTGCGATGATGCAGACGGGTGTTCGCTTGATTGGTAACGGCCAGGCACCAGTACAAAAGTACTGGAAGCATCTGTTGGAGCTCATCCAGAAAGGTGAAATCAACCCTCTGGACATGGTCACGCACCGCATGCGCCTGGAGGACATGGAGAAAGTCTACGCGCTATTTGACAAGCGAGAGGAGGGCATGCAAAAGATCTTTGTGCAAACCAGATTCTCCGCGCCTCCAGCCGCGGGATCTCCGAGTCTGACAGTATTGTAAAGGGCACCTCCTATCTTGTATTGCTGGGGACCGTTTGAGCCGCTTAAGGAAGGTGCAGATAAATTGTATTCTTATGGAGAACTGAGAGGTTGTAATTGTCCTCGGGGTTAATTGTTCGATGCTATGGGATGGCGTTGTGTCAGTTATCGAGTGACGATTATTGTCTACCTATTTGAAGCAGACTTTCCGTCAGATTATCTAAACCGGTAATACTGGATAAAGTAATGTCTATGAATCGCTCTACTAAATGCATGTATCTACAGACAATGCACCTATGATAGACAGTAGCAACAGCAGTAATCCGGGTTTCGCCATTTCGTTTCCGCTGATCGGCATTCCAGGGCTGATAACCACGGAATGAGAACCACAGCGAGGAAATGACTAGGAGACCGACTGAAAACTCTTTCCTTCATACTAGATATGGAAACGGTCACAGAATTACTCAACCCAATGGTCAGCAATATGTTGGGCAAATAAGCGAATATAGCCGAATGAACCAAAACAAGTAAGGTGTGATCAGATAAGATCAGATGATGAATGATCATCAGTAGCCGGGTCAAATCATATGTCATCGACTCATCGGCCGTCGGAGTTTGCTCATTATTCGCTCACCCAGCAGAGGTCATTGTGGATGCCGTGACAAAGTTCTTATCAGATGGAGTTGTGATTGGTAGTTTTGAATTTTCGTTTCTATGGTAGTTGCTGTGCGCGTCTGAAGCCTTAATGATTGCAAGGGGGTATTCCGGAGTCGAGCAAGTTGAATCGAGATAAGGATTGTGTTGCTGCAGAGTATACAGAGTAGCAGTTGACTTGGTTTATTTAACCAATTAAGTTCGTTACTGCCTCTTTACTGGATGCAGACAATTGATAAATTATTTAGCACTGGGAGGGGTATCACCACCACCTACCAACGGCCGAAAGTTCTGCCTGGATATGGTTAGTCCCAGAATGGAATACCGTTCCATAAGAGTCAACACGGTTCCCAACTGTGGGGAATCTGATAAAAGTTTGTCATGGACTCGAAGAAAGTGAGAACGAAGCAGCCTTTGAATGGGAGGATTCTATATTGCTTCAAGGTAAGGCAGCCTCAGGTATTAATATATATATCCTCCGTAATGTCACATTGTAGTCCAATTTCAAGGAACAATATCAACGCAATGAGTATCTCTTGAGTACTCCGTACAAGGCATTCTAACCCCGCTGCAGTAGAGTGATATTCATAAATGCAGAGCACCCTCTATGGACCAAGTGGACTCATGGTGGATCGTCACATACCCTAAGTAACCTATCCACGGAGTACTTACCGTCTATATGCACCGCCGAAATCGGGAAGACACGCACGATAATCTAATCTGATCCGATTCTCTTTTATTCGCCGTCTTTTCCTCTTTAGTTCTCCCTGACTCTTCTATCTCTTCTCTCCTCGGCTTTTGCTCGCTCTCTTCTAATCTCCTGTAACTCGATTTTTCCTCTTTTATTTTCCCCATCAGTTAACTGAAAATACTTTCATATATTCTGTCTGCTGAGAAATAACTACAGCACCCAGCAACTGAGAGTCTCTTGACTTGATTGAGCTCATCGGCTCCCTTCCCTCTCCAACTCTGATGCGCGCACTTCCGCTCTCCCGCCCGAACCTCCCCAAGTGACACCACCAAAAGTTAGTCTCTTCCTTTCCCTGCTCCGTCCACCCACCATTCTCCTCCACCTTGTTCATTTTCCATAAATAATTCCACTAATGTCCATCCAGATCGCTTTCCTGAGATATAGGGAGTCTCATCATCCGTAATAATGTCTACACCCTCAATAGCTCCCACTCCTGCTCCACTGGTGCCCGCATTGGCTGCCAAGCCAGCCATCTCACCTTCGCCTGGTCCGGGCACACCCGGGTCAATTACCTCCAAGGAATGGGTAATCCCACCACGACCAAAACCAGGCAGGAAACCGGCCACAGATACGCCTCCTACAAAGCGCAAGGCCCAGAATAGAGCCGCCCAGCGCGCCTTCAGAGAACGGCGAGCTGCTCGCGTTAATGAGCTCGAGGAGCAAATCAAGAAAATCGAAGATGAGCACGAAATCCACATTGCGGCGTTCAAGGAACAGATCACCAATCTCTCTCGCGAGGTGGAGCAGTGTCGTTCCGAGATGACCTGGTGGCGCGATCGATGCCATGCGTTAGAGAAGGAGGTATCGGTGGAAAGAAGCGCCAAGGAAGCTATCGTGAAGGAGTTCCGATCGTCTCTTTCGGACAGGAATGCTGCAAGCTCCGACAAAGGGCTTCTTCCTCTTGCCACATCCACTCAAAACCGTTCCTCCGAACGGCCAGACAATGGTGATGCGTCCAACAATGACAGTGGGGAGGGTCGAGAGGAGGTACCGTTAGGCTGCAATGATTGCTCCACATCGCATTGCCAGTGCATTGAGGATGCTTTCACTATGCCGGGAGTTGTGGCTCAGGAACAGTCCAGAAGTCTCGATACTACCAAGCCTGGTCGTTCCGAGCCTCAGATCAAGCCAGACCCGGAAGAGATGGAAATTGATTTCACTTCCCGATTTGCCGCCATTCAACAGCAGGATCATTCGCCGACGTCCGTTTCGTCCCCTGCTGTTGATCCCTGTGGGTTCTGTTCAGATGGCACGCCGTGTATTTGCGCGGAGATGGCCGCTCAGGAGGAACAGCGTCCGCGAAGGAACTCGTTTGAGAATAACCGACTTGCCCCTATCCAAAATCTGTCCCAGTTCACACCACCCCCTTCTGACGGCGACGTCCGCTCGGAAGTCACGCTGCCACCCATCAGCCAGGCTACAAATCCCTGCGCAAACGGGCCAGGCACATGCGCTCAGTGTCTCGCGGATCCCCGGAGGACCCTTTTCTGCAAGACTCTGGCCGCCTCCCGATCCCCTAGTGCTGCCCCGTCGGGATGCTGCGGAGGCAAAGGCGCTGATGGCGGGTGCTGCCAGTCGCGTAACACCAATGTCTCGCGAGGCAGGTCTGGTTCCAATAACAATTCGACGTCGGGATCTTCGGCCGCACCATCCTTGACTTTATCTTGTGCCGACGCCTACACGACCCTCTCACGACATCCTAAGTTCTCCCGGGCCACCGACGAGCTATCAGCATGGCTACCCAAGCTTCATACCTTGCCTAAACCTCGAGACTTTCCCTTAAACGATCGTGGGGTACCAAGGGCCGCTATGGAAGTTGAGGCTGCGAGTGTGATGGGCGTGTTGCGATACTTTGACCGACGGTTTGCCGACAAATAGTTCATCGCATCTCTGCTTGTAGAATCACTCTCGTTCTTTACTTTCTCTTCACTTTTTGATGATACCCAAACTGACTCGTGACATGTCTGAGTTTGTATTATACACCTGCCCCCCGCAACCCCCTTTTTACTTTCTTACCTCCTTGAACTGGCGTCCGCTATCTTACAAGAGCTTTTCTTTATTTTGTTTATACTCCCTCGTTCCACTGCAAGAGGGCCAGTGACCATGACTCTTGGGTCATATGGCTACAGCCCATACCCTCATTGATATTGGATGGGACAGGTCGGGGGTTACCAAAAAAGAGACAACCAGAAAGAATGCGGTCTGGTCGAAGTATCGCGATGGGGTATCAAAAACGATTCGATGGACATGTATGTGACTGATGATTTAGACGGCGAAACGAATGGCGTTCTGGGCTGCTTTACTATTGAAGTTACAATTTGTGGAACACCTTCCGCTACAAAGTCAATCTATAAAAACAATGGTTAGACAGGATTGTGTATATCTTGACCGAAATGAATAGAAGAAAGAGTGATTCCATTTCCGCTCGATGTTCTGTGTCTTGACCTGTTGTCCATGATGAACGAGTCAACTTTTCAACAGCTGCTCGGACCATTCATGTTGCTTGACACCAGATAACCTCCGTCGAATGATGTACCGGTACAGACATGAATATAAGAGCACGGAGATGGAGCTTCGACACTTCGCCTCCTCGGAAAATGGGTATTATCTACATACAACATACATACGTACATGGATCAACCGGAATCGCTAACGGGCGCAACGCCATCCACTCCTGCCCTGGCTCCGAACGCAGAATGACTAGTACATGGCAAGAAAGATCGCAAAAGAGAGGAGTGAGTGTGGAGGAAATCCTCCAAACGTGGAGTAGAGAATGGTTTCGATAGGTGGGACAAAGGGTAAAAGAAGCGGGAGTTAGTCAAGGAATTGAGCAGGTCGCATTATATCCCTAAGCTTCAAGACGCAAGGGTGATCAGAAACGACCACCACTAACCATCACTTCCTCATCCCCTCCGCCTCCGATGGAGCCTAACAGGCCCGCGCCCCAAATACCGGCAATACCCCACATACCGATTCTCCAGCCCCGATAGAGGCCGCCGATGCCCTGTCCCTGGCGTTTCCGGGAAGAGATGGGCTTCCCGAGAACCCGCTCAGCATCGGAAGAGGGCGCGCTGACACCCTCTTCATAGACTATGCCCCACATCGTTCCTACAATGCCGCGGTAGGTCTGAGGAACGGGAACGATGGTCTCAACCGCAGATGTCTCCTCAGCGGCAGCGGACGTGTCCGAACGAGAGGTGGCGGCATACTTCTGCCGGATACTGGGCGATGTGTACGTGGCAATCTGCGCACGACGCAAGACAGTCTCCAATGGAAATCGAACAGCAAGCTCTAGGCCGGACCCCAGGAAAGCAAGAAGGTTCCACATGGAGGGATTCAGAACTGGGTCGATCGATAGGTAGGTCTTGAAAAACAGCGGTGTAGTAGTTGTGATGAAATTAGGTAGACTCGAGTGCAGGATGGTGATAGGGATCAGGTGGGAAGGGATCATGCAGTTGGGGGTGGGGAGCTGTCGAATCGCTCGGAGGAGCGAACGCGGCCCATGAGTCGCTGGGGTGAGGATGAGGAAGGTGCGAGCGGTGTCAATCGGGGACAACAGCATGGCAGACAGTGACGAAGAAATAAAGGACAGCACCAATGTCGCAAAAGGTGATGTC